TGGAGGGGCTGCGCAGATACCTGGAGCTGGGGAAGGAGAAGCTGCTCACAGCTGCACCTGGCCTCCCCTCTCTTGGTGATGATCAGAATGTAGCCACATCCCCCTGTTTTTTGATGTACATATTTTAGAATAATTAGAATTGGTCAATAATATTATACCAGCATCTATTAGGCTTTAAGAAGCCATGTATTTTAGAAATTCCTATTAATTTATATATATTCTATTTTTTTCTATGAGAGTGCTTTCCATCATGTTTTAATATACCCAAATGGCCTGATTTGTTTTAGTATCTTAGAATGTTGATTATCAGGGTAGTTTTATCACAGGCTTAAGAAACATTTGCAGTTTGCTTAAAACGGTACTTTATTACCCAGAGTGATGAAGATTCTAAGTGTAAAATATTTCTCTGGATAGACTCAGTGTTACTGACTGGGTAAGACATCTCCCTCCCTTCCTCTCTCCTCTGTTTGCTCTCTCTCTCACCTTTAGAGTATTGGATCTCTAGTATTGGGTCCTCCCTGGTGGTGGACCCAGTTAAAGCACAACACTATGAAGCTATCCACTGCCACGGCAGCACCAGCTGGATCCCCCTTGGAGGTGACCCACATGGCTCCACAGCCCTCTCCTAATCCACCCGCTGCTCCCCTCAGCAGCGCACTTAGTCAATCAGTCTGTTCTGCTCCCCACTCTGTCTCTGGTGAATCCTCTCACAGTCCCTGCACCTGTACCCCAGTTCTGTATGCATAAATAAATAAATCTTTTAAAAAAAATAAAATAAAATAAAATAAACAAACTACCAAAAAGCTGATTACAGTCACAGATGCTTTTTTCTCCTCAGGCACATAGAACAAATTAAAACTTAGTTTCACGGAAGTGTAGTATTGATATAAAAAATTAATCTTAAATTCTCTATAACATGTCACTTAGTACTTTCACATATCACTTATTAGCTTTGAAATAGTGCAAGGGTGGGGGCACCTACATGTCTCAGTTGGTGGGTTCTCACCTATGTGTTTACAAATGCAATTGCAGAGCATAGCTCTGACTAGCTTAACAACAGTGCGCATTTCAAGGCCTTCATCGTCAGCAAATGTTGGATTTTGTCCAGTGCTTTCTCAGCATCTATTGTTATGATCACATGATTTTTATTTTGTTGTTGTTGTTGATGTGTTGGCCTACATTCATTGATTTTCAGATACTGAGCCATCTTGGAATAAATCTCACTTGGTCACGGTGAATTATCTTTTTGATGCATTGTTGGATTCTATTGGCTGAGATTTTATTGAGGATTCTTGTATCAGTGTTCATTAGACTGATTGGTCTGTAGTTCTTTTTTGTGTGTTGTCTTTGTTTGGTTTTGGTATTAGGGTGATAATGGTTTCATATGACGTATTTGGAAGTACTCCTTCCTTCTCAGTTTTTTGAAAGAGTTTGTGTAGGATAAGAGTTTGGTAGAATTCATGTGTGAAACTATCTGTTCCTGGGCTTTTGTTTATGGGGAGGGTTCTGATTACTGCTTCAATGTCACTACTTGCAATTGTCTGTGTCTTCTTTATCCAGCTTTGGATACTTATGTGGTTCTAGGAATTTGCCCATCTGTTCTAGATTGTTGCATATAACCATTCATAATATTTCTGATTATTCTTTTGATGTGTGTTGTGATTTCTCCTTTTGTTTGTGATTGTATTTATTTGTGCTTCTCTCATTTTTTCTTTGTGAGCCTGGCTAGAGGTTTGTCTATTTTATTTTTTTAAAAAGCTTTTGGTTTTGTTGATCTTCTGGTTAGTTTTTTAACTTCAATTTCATTTATGTCTGCTTTGATTTTTATTATTTCCTTTCCTCTTCCTGGCTCTTGGGGTTTTGTTGCTCTTTTTCCATTTCTTTAAGGTGGGAGACTAGGTTATTTCTTTGAGCTCTTTTTTTTTTTTAAAGATTTATTTTATTTGTACATACAGAACTGGGGTACAGGCCAGAGGTGGCGAGAGACTTCACCAGAGACAGAGTGGGGAGCAGAACAGGCAGATCGACGAGGTACATTGCTGAGGGGAGCAGCGGGAGGGTCAGGAGAGGTCTGCTGTGCCATGTGGTCACCTCCGGGGCAGGCGGGAATCTAACTCATGCGGAAGTGGCTTTAGCTTCTCAGTGCAGTGCTTTAACCCGCTGGGCCACCAGGGAGGGCCTCTTTGAGCTCTTTCTTGATGTGAGTCTGTCTCACTATATATTTTCCTCTTATTTCTGCTTTTGCTGTGTCCCATATGTTCTAGGGAGTTGTGTCCTCATCGTTGTTCATCTCAAGTTTTTAAAATTTCTTCTTTGAGTTCCTCTTTAATTCAAAGGTTCTCCAGTAATGTGGGGTTCAATCTCCATGAGGTAGGAGGGCTTCTTGCTTTCTTTTCATGGTTTATTTCTAGTTTGATGTCTTTATGGTCAGAGAAGATAGTTGGTATGATTTTTGATGTATATCACCTTGCACCATTGAGAATGGCACGTATTAAACAAACTGGCAACAACAAATTGGTGAGGGTGTGAAGAAAAAGGAACCCTCCCACAAACTGGTCTAACAGTTTGTTAGACTGGTGGGAACACAAACTGGTCTAACCACTGTAGAAAGCTGTGTGTAGGTTCCCAAATTTCTAAAAATGGAACTTCCATATGATTCAGCAATTCCACTTTGGATTATTTACCCAAAGGATGCAAAAACCATTAATTCAAAAGAGCACCTACACTCCTGTGTTCATTGCAGCACAATTCACAATGGGTAAGCTATGGAAACAGCCCAGTTGCCCAAAAATAGATGACTGGATCAAGAAGATGTGGTATATATATTACTCAGCAATCAAAAAAGATCGAATATTACTCAGCAATCAAAAAAGATAAAATCATGCCATTTGCAGCAACATGGATGGAGTTAGAAAGGATCATGTTCAGTGAAGTAAGCCAGAAAGTAAAAGAAAAATACCAGGTGGTTTCTCTTGAGAGATTTAGGAAACCCAAATCAGGGAATTGGGAGGGGGCAGTAATCATAACAAAGTAAAAGTCACAATTAATAGGCAACTATAAACCAGAGACATCCTTTAGAGGGAGAGAAAATTGGATCAAAACATGGGTGGGAAAAGCACAAGAGACTACAGTGATGGTGCACAGGTGAATTTGTGGTGGGAATTTCATGGGGATCATACATGAGAGGATAATAAAACATATGTTGTGTGAAGGTGAAGAATGATGTAAAATTTCAAAATAAATAAAGAATACAGTTTTTTAAAAAATGTCCTGGTTGATCAGCAATCAAAAAAGATAATGCCATTCATAGCAACAAGGGTGGAGCTAGAAGGGATCATGCTTGGTGAAATAAGTCAGAAGGAAAAAGAAAAATGTCAGGTGGTTTCACTTATAGGGAAACCATACAAGCAATCAGGAAAAGAAAAAAGAAAGACAACTAGCGAGCAAACTATAAATTGGTGACATTCAGCAGGGGAGGGGGAAAAGGAGGAAGCAAAACAGGAAAGAGCAGAGGGATGACCACAAGAATCTACGACTGTTCACAGATATCTTGGGGACAATAGCTGAGAGAAGAAATCAAATATTGTGCAAAAATGTACAACAATATTATAAAAATATATAAATTAAAAATGTTCAATTAAAAAAAGTCCTAGTTGAAACTTTAAAGTTTACTTTCCTTATCTCATCTTTCTCAAATACATATTTTAGTAATATCTGCTATGATGATGTGAACGTCCATAAAGAGCACTTACGCTACATTCCAAAGTACAAGCTCTAAAGAAAATATTTATATGACATAAGTTAGCCCCTTTTTTAGGCAACACAATCTTTACCTGAAGGACTTGGTTAATTGGCAGACATTTTCTTGAAAATGAGTGTAGGTGTGTTCCTCTAAGCAAATCACCTGACAAGTAATTTTGTCTTTACAAAATGTAAAACTCCAGAGAAAACCGGCAATTTGGAATCATAGCAGCTCACTATGATGTGTTCATCTCTATGCGCTTGACAATTCATAGTCATGAATAACTTCTTTAAGATCTATGGTTAAAAAAAAGAAATAACAAACATGATTAATAATTTCATTTCATTGTAATTAACACTGAAGCTCATATAACCTATTGAAATAAAGTGCTATTTTAAAAATCATAAAACATACAAATCAATTATTAGGTGAGAGAGGCCTATGGCATTAATATGACAGAATATGAAATATTCAATGACATTGTCTCAGTTCTGACTTTGCAAATAACCCTTGAGAAATGACCACTTCTACAGTTATATTTTAGCATCAAAGTTGACATTCATCATTAACTGGAACGTTATTAAGATACAACTCCAATATGTTTGCATGAGGTTATATGTTTTTTCAAATAATTGGTTTGGTTTTAAATAAAGGAAAAATAAGAAGACTGGAGGTCTTATAATAGACAAGAAAGATGGTTTTAAAAATATAAAAGATAAAAGATACACTCTTCCCTTTACCCTGATTACTTTCAGAAATATCTATTTTTCATAAAAGCATTTTGTGTTAACATGCATTAGGGTATAAATATTATTCCTAATTTAATAACATCAAAAGTGGTTTATGGTAAATAATAACAGCTGTAACCTATATAAATAAAACAATACTTGTGGTCCTTGCTAATTTACAAGACTGTACACAGACCCTAAAAAGAAAATGGGAGTCCCTGGATGGACTCAGGGAGACAGTGTGAGGACGGTGTTGGTGCCTGAGCGGAGCAAACAGGGTGAAGTCCCAGGTATCCGTGTGATTCTCAGTGTCTCAGTCCTGAGTGGGATATCTGGGCAGGGAGGGTTACTCCAGGGAATTCCGGATCTCCCAGCCATTGCACTTCTCCTCTTAGAACCCATGTGGGGTCTTCCTGCCTGGATACTGTCTACTCATCCCTGGCTCTCACTTCCTGTTGCCTGGAGGGTTTCCAGAGAAGCCAATCAGCAAGACCGAATCTCCACCCCCCAACCTGGACTCAGATTCTCCCCAGACACTGAAGATGTGGGTCATGAGGTCCCCACCCCTCCTGCTACTGCTCTCAGGGGGGATCCTGGCCTTGACTGAGGCCTGGGCAGGTGAGTGTGTAAGGGGGAGGGGGGAGAAGGAGAGTTGAGGCCAGGAGGAGAGGAGAGGAGGGAGGGATTCTAGGGAAACACGTGACTCCAACTTTGCCAGCCCAGTTGTTGCCTTCCTCTGGCTAGTCCCTTCCTCTGCCTACCAGCCCGCCCTTCCCCCCCCATCTTTTCCCCTCTTGAGAGTCACCCCTTCTGAATCTGATGCCCCTTTCCATCTCAGGAGCCCCTTGACATTCCTCCCCTCTTGCCCCATCTCCCTTGACCAGCCCCTCGATGTAGGTCAGCCCCGGTCCCATTCCCGTCTCCAGGCTCCCACTCCCTGAGGTATTTCCACACCATGATGTCCCGGCCCGGCCTCGGGGAGCCCCGCTTCATCACGGTGGGGTACGTGGACGACACGCAGTACGTGCGGTTCGACAGCGACGCTCCGGGTCAGAGCGTGGAGCCGCGGGCGCCCTGGGCGGAGCAGGTGGGGCAGGAGGATCGAGATGAGGAGACGCGGATCCAGAAAAACAACGAACAATCCTTCCGAAAGGGCCTGCACACGCTGCGCTGCCACTACAACCAGAGCGAGGCGGGTGAGCTAGGCGGGCCGGGCCGGTCACCACCCCCATCCGCAGGGACGGGAGGCGTCGCCCGCAGTCTCCGGGGCCCCTATCTTTACACTACTCTACTCGCCCTCAGGCTCGGAAGCTCCCGCAGGACTTAAAATTTCCTTCTCAGTTTAGGTTTTACGCCGGGGCTAAGTCAGGGAGCTGGCGGGGCAATCAATCACCGGCTGATTGCCGGCCTGGGGGGCTGGGATCTCAGAGTCTCACACCATCCAGAACTTGAGCGGCTGCGAGGTGGGGCCGGACAGGCGCCTCCTCCGCTGGTACAGTCTTTTCGCCTACGACGGCGCCGATTACATCGCCCTGAACGGGGACCTGCGCTCCTGGACCACAGCAGACGAGACTGCCCAGATCACCCGGCGGGAGTGGGAGGCCAGTGGCTTGGCTGAGCGCCTTAAGAAAGAGCTGGAGGGCAGGTGCGTGGAGTGGCTGCTCAGATTCCTGGAGATGGGGAAGGAGACTCTGCAGCACGCAGGTAAGAGGGGCCAGAGATGTTCAGACCTCCCTTAGGTTCATCCCACTGGAAAAATGGAGTAATTGTCCGAACCCTCTTTCTGGTTCAGAGAGGAGTCCTCTGGGAACTAGAAAAATTCACTCAGATGCTTTTACTGCAGGGCAGTTAAAGAATCCCATCTCTCTTCAGGTGGAGGGTAAACCATCCCTGAGGACTCTTTTTCCTGGATTTTTTTTTAACCCTGCAGCCATCCTGAAACCCTCAGTTTCTCTCTTAAGGTCTTGGTTTTTGTCTGAAAACAATTTTGAATATGATTCTGAGTCATTCACCCCACCCACATTAGGAGCAGAAGTCTCTCTTCTCAGAGATCTGTGTTCTCCCAATTAACACCCTTAATCTAAAACGTTCCACAGACAAGCAATTATCCCAGACAAGACTGGTTTCTGGCTTTTGTCCTTCGTTTCCCAAACCAGTTATCCAGTCCATTCTGAAGATGGTCATATGAGGCTGCTTCAGTGTCCATGGAAAAAGCACAAAGTATGAGTTTTCTGAATCTTCCCCTCAGATGCCCCTGAAACACAGGTAACTCATCACCCTACCTCTGAGCATGAGGTCACTCTGAAGTGCTGGGCCCTGGGCTTCTACCCTGTGGAGATCACCCTGACCTGGCAGCGAGATGGGGAGGACCTGACCCAGGACACAGAGCTGGTGGACACCAGGCCTGGGGGGGACGGAACCTTCCAGAAGTGGGCAGCTGTGGTGGTGCCTTCTGGAGAGGAGCAGAGATACACGTGCCATGTGCAGCATGTGGGGCTGCCGGAGCCCCGAGTCCTGAGATGGGGTGAGGAGGAGGATGTGAACCCAGAGGTTGTTCTGGGGGGGGCTGGGATCAGGGGCCCTTCTGGACCCTTCAGAGGGTCAGGATGAGGCCTGGGGCTCAGGGTCTCCCCTCCCCTTCCCATCCAGAGCCCCCTCCTCAGAACTCCACCCCCTCCGGGGGCCTCATTGCTGGCCTGGTTCTCCTTGGAGCTGTGCTCACTGGGGCTGCGGTGGCTGCAGCTGTGATGTGGGAGAAGAAGCGCTCAGGTAGGGAAGGGAGTAGGGGGTCAGGTCCACAGGGGGCTTTTGAGCCCCAGGGAGAACTTGCCTTAACTGGTTAGTGGGAAGCACCATCCACACACTGTTTTGCCTAGCCTGGAGCTGATTATTAACACAGTTTTATAAAGCATTTATGAAAATGAATCACAAATTGTTCATTTTGGTATTTCTGGCATCTTAATTCCCATCAAATGTCAGAGGGGAAGAACCTGGCTGTGAACAGACTCTAGGAGGGGATTGGCCAAGTGTTCCCTCATATTCTTACTTGATATTTCCTGGTCCTGCCCTGGGTCTTCAGTTACAGCTCTGGAAATCTCTCCGTGGCCCAGATTAGGGGATTCCTTTAGGACTTCAGGGCTTGACTCCTGCCTGGAATTACATGATCCTTCTTCCCACAGGTGGAAAGGAAGAAGCTATTTTCAGGTTGGAGGTAAGTGTGGATCAAGGGTTTGGTCCCTGAGCCCCTATGGACAGTGTAGATGGAGCCCCTGGGGGAGTCACCCCCTTAAGTTCCTCCTGTGGTCTCATCTCTAGTGGCTCTGACCAGGTTCAGTATTGTTCTCCCAGGGTATGAATTGTCTGTCAGCCCCTAGAGGTGAGACCCTGAGACCTGCAGTGGGAGGGGTTGGGGCAGAGAGGAGGGACCAGGCTATGGGAAGCTATGGGTGGGTATTCTGAGGATGCGGTGGGCTATGGGGAATGTCCACACTTGCATGATCCCCTGACTTTGTTCCTCATTATTGTCCTTCACAGTGTGAGACAGCTGCCTAGTAGGACTGAATGATGGTTCCCACTGTGTGACTTCCAGCTCCACTGGTTTCCTTCCTGAAAGGGCATCTGCATGTGTCCATGAGCATAATGCCCACCAGGCCCCCTCCCCAGACTGACCCAATTCTCCCTTGATGGCTTCACTGTTCTAGCAGAGATGGGGCTGAGCAGACTGTATCCTGTATTTATTTTGTTTTTTCCCTAAGGAATAACATTTAACCAATAATTCCTTATTGAAAATAATAATCTAGATGTAAAATCATCTTTTCTATTTTTGTCATGAATGTTAATAAAAAGATTCCTAAAATCTGAAAGAAGGCAAATGGGAGACCTGAGGACCTGCTGGAATCTCTTGCTTGCTGTGCTGAATCTGTGCAGGTCGAGGCGGGAGAGGCAGTGAGGGGCCGACAGGGACAGGGCTATGTCCAGTCGGTGCTCAGGGCATCATGGCTGTGATGTGGTCACTCCTCAGGGCATCTCTCTGCCCTTTTTCCTTGTCCCTCATAGCACCTGTCCACCAGGCCTGAGATCACAGGGGCTTAGACACTGCCTGTTTTGTCTCCAAGAAGTTGGCCTACAGAACTCGATCATGGCTGCATAAAACTAACTCATTCACTCTGGACCCCTAGGAATGATTTGCATGAAACCCCATACCAGTAAGAGGCACAACCTCTGAACCAGTGGGCGGTGCTCACAATCAACTTTCGGGGGGAGCTTTTCCAACACCACCCCCTCAGTAGGGCTGATGGGAAACGGGTGGAGTTGAAGATCTTGGGAGATTGAAAAGAGGGCTTCTAGTGGTCGTTCAGGCACTGGTAAAGAGGGGTAGCCCCAAGTTTGCCACTTAAGGCTTCATTTTGGACCTTAGTACCTCAGCAGGTGCTAGTGGGGCCAGACAGAGAGCTCCTGGCCAGTTCTCACCGTGTATATTCTGTCTCTCTTTCTCCCTCTTTCCCTCTCTCCCTATAAATAAATTCCGCTCTTGCCATTTCCTGCTCTATACCTGCTTTTAAATCCTGTCTTGCAGTTTGTTAGCCCACTGGTGAGGACCCAGCAAGCAGGTTGTTTGCACCTCCTGCCCCAGTTCTGTTTGGCTTCATACCTATTACTATAGGTATGTTCTGTTACTTATAGTTAGTTCTTATTTATAATGATCTGCTGGGGACTATCCAGCTGGATATGCTATGACCTCCTCAGTGGCCAATTTCAAAATTGCTCCTAGTCTGAGGCTCACTAAGTGCCACGCAGAAATTGTGACATTCACCAGAACCTGCCATTTGGCAAAGGGTTATTAGAGCCAACAACTACACAAACAGTAGATGTGCGTTTGCTGTGCTGTGTGATTTGGAAATGCTTTGCAAGCAAAGAGGATTCTAGAACTCTGTCAGAAAACCTATCAAAAGTGGAAAACAAGTGGCTGCTTTGTTAGACACCTTACTGTTTACTACAGAACTGGCAATAGGCCTCCCTGGTGGCCTACGGGTTAAGTCTCAGCACTGTCATCTGTGAGACAGCCCATGGTGATGGCTGCCCCAACCCCTGCCTGGGCAGCAGACCTCTCTTTTCTCTACCTCCCGCTGCTCCCTTCAGCAATGTATTCCAGTAGATCTGCCTGTTTTGCTCCCCACTCTGTCTCCAGTGAATCCTCTCACACCTTCCACCTCACCTCTGGCCAACACCCCAGTTCTTCAATGAATATAAAAATAAATAAAATCTTAATTAAAAAACTCACAGAATTAGCACTAATTAAAACACAGGAGCAGTGCAAAGCATAACAGCAAATCATCTGATAGATGGGGAAGAACAAACAGCTAAGGAGCACCTGAACACTGCAACAGTGGCCTCATTCAGTGTATTTCTCTCTCCTGCTAACTTCAGACTTTAATTTTTGGAGCTCAGCTACTAAAAAGAAGAAACAGAGGATGCCCCAGAAAAGGGGTTTTTTTCATTCTCACAGGAAATTGTGGATCACCCAACACCCAACACTTCCCTTACGGGCACGGCTTCCTTTTTTGAGCACATTCATAGATTAACCCATTGGACCGAGGGAAAATGGTCTCTTGGGGAAAATGATGTGAAGTACAACTTATTAGGGTGACAGAAAAGAGATGGTCCCCGTGCTTAATTGCACTAGCCATAACCTAGGATACCTTCCCATGGCAAAAAGGACCCTGACCGGCCCGGCCCTTTGAAGCTTGGTGAATGGGTTTTCTCCAAGTGCTGCCCCAGGACACCAGACTGGTCACAACGTGCACGTCTCTCACTGGGTAGAAGCCTCCCCACGTGGAAGGGCAAGGGCTTGGTCACCTGCTGGCCTGTGCCGCCCAGGGCGGGGAGCTTCGCTGACCTGCATGGTGACTGTGAACTCGCTCTGCTGGACACATCACCAGGGAAACTGGTAAAGTCTGGCCATTTACTACAACAGACAGTGACTGACAAAATGTAAATTTAACCTTATATTTTGCAGAGCTGTGCAAGGCACAAGGCAATGAGCTACTATACTAGGAGAAAAGGGGGTGAAGGACTCAGATCACAATAGGAAGGTGGATACGATCTGCCACACTCCCTTGGGTGAAACATATTGATTAGGTGAAAGATGTGAGAGGTTCCCTGATGTTGGCAGAAGATGCCATTCTTGTGAGCGCATGAATAAAGGTTACTATGACCACAAAGTGGAAGACTGTGAGGATTTTACCAACTCTGGGTCCTCGTTCCTGGTGTTATAGGCAAGATAGCAAAGTCGTCTGCTCAGGCTTGAGTCACTGCAGCTTGTCCTGTAAACAGATCTCAGAGTGGTGATTACTGGACAGTTTTCTCGGAGCAACACCTGGTGGCTGGATGATCCTGGGTTTGAACCCTCACTTTGCTCACCCAGTAAATTCCTGTCTCACCATCACTAAGGTCTTATTTCAGCAGTCACGTCTGTGTCCCCGTCGCACCAGTCTGCTCCATTGTCTCTAGCCATAGTGGCCTCTGTGTCCTGCTCAGACGTGAGCCACCCTGTGGAAGCCCCGCGTTGTCCACCAGGGGCGGGCAGCAAAGCCAGGCTTGCTGAACCCAGAGGGGAGGAAGCAGTGTGGACACCCAGAGGGACGGGAGGCCTGGGCAGAATCCACCATTCAGGTGCTGGTGAGTGGTGGGCTATGGCCCCTCCTCTCTGGCTCTGCACCCTGTGCTGTGCTCTGTTATCCCCCTCCCCCAGGGCTCTCTCCCAAGCTGCTGTCTTTGCCCAGGCATACTCTCATGGGGCCACACAATGACTTGTGCAGAGCGGGGAGAAAGAGGGAGAAGTCAGAGGGGTGAGGTGAATGGAGGGACCAGAGTGAGGGGAGGGGACATGAGTGGCCATCCCACAAAATATGAAAACAGGCTCTTCCTCAGCCTTTGTGACTTTCACCAAATGGGTCCATTTGGATCCTCCCACAGCATCATTTCTTCCAGAAAATTCCAGAGCCCAAGGCTCAACAAGATTCAGGATTCTCTGGAAAATTAGGAAGCAGGGTGGAGATTTCTTGAATTACCTGCTCTAGAGACCTCAGGATTTGGGGCATTCCTAATTTCCCTACCCACTGTAAAAAAAGCAGACATCAAAGAACTCTGATTTCTCTGGAAGTGGGGAACACAAAATCTGTTGGAGATGTGGCCACATCCATCATCAGTCCCCAGGCAAGAGAGCTCAAAGAGGTTGTCAGTAGGAAATTGAGGCCTGCATGAGTGGTGGGCAGGGCCAGCCTAGGCCTCTGCATGGCTGGGCATCCCACCCCCACTGCCCTGTAAATGCCTCAGCCTAACCAGATGTAGAGGTGTTTCCTCTGGCCACTCCTTGGGACAGTCCATGATTTAGTCTCTCCTGAAGCCTTTGTGCTGGGCCTGCCTGAGCGACCCAGAAAGATTCCAGGCTCACCACAGACCGAGCTCATCTCTGTGCCTGGTGGGCGTCTTAGAACGGAGAATTTCTCTCAAGGAAGTGGTTATGCTTGGTATGGAAGGGAGGAAGACAGGAGGAGGAAGCAGCTAAGCTGTTGGCAGAGCTCTTGCATGGCCTTGACTGGCATCTGGACTGGGATAGGGAAAGGCAGATGAAAGCACATGGTCTTGAGGATGCTGTCGAGCGCCAGGTCTGAGCTCTAAGAGTGTGAGGAAATAGGTCATGAGCAAGCAGCCACGTCTGAGAAAGATATACAAGAGCTTATCAAGAGAGGTGTCCTGGTGGGTGCGAGGGCTCGGCCATCTGGGGCTGGACAGGGTGTTCCAAGAACTAGAATACCAAATAGATTAAGTCAATGTGCTATTGTTACAGCTTGAAAATGTTAGGTATATACAGGGCATGCTGAAAATAAAAGTTCACTGCATGCTGGCCATAGCAGTCCTCCGTCTGGTTTGTCCTTCACAGGCGCCCCAGGTCTTCGGATCCACTAGAGATTGATAAGTGGCACCCGAAAAGGGACCTTAAGTTTCATCTGCAAAAGTGGGAGATGGCAGAGCCTTTGAGTTTACATAAGGTGGTGAGTAAACGTGGTACTTCCAGATGGGATAATCTTCATGTTTTTCTACTTACGCCTCTCTTAAGCATCTTGTGGATCATGGTGCTAAGGTTTCTCTGTCACAAATACTTGATTGTTTAAATGTTGTGGTTGAATATAATCCACGGTTTTCTGAAGAAGGAACTTTTGATTTGGATACTTGGGAAAGAAGTCCTGGTTTGAAAACACGAACAAGGAGAACCCATCCCCGTTAAGTTTTGGTCCACATGGGCTATGATAAGGGTAGTCAGGTTGGCAATAGATGGCAAAATTCGCCCAGAACCTGCTGTTTTGACTCGGTCAGCACAAGAATCATTGCATGAAGGTGAGTTGGAGGATGACACATTGGCTCAAGTTAAAAAGGCAGCTCATGAATCTCTGACGATGTCCCAATCTCCTAATATCGTGGCTCCCATGATGAATACTTCAAACCATTTTCACAACTGACCCCAGAGGAAAAACTGTTGGCACTGGAATCCCCTTTTGCTAGGCAGTTCGCTAAACAAAGGGGAGAAAATCTGAATCCTAAACAGTGGGATGACTTACAAGGGGCAGCTGCCGCAACCCCACCCCCGCCCGCGACTGGAGGCTCCGCCCATTCCTCCATCTGGCACGAAAGTTCCTTTGCCTTCTGAAGGTGGAGCAGTGGATTCCGACCTTGATCTCATGGAAGATAATGTAGAGTTAGAATTAAAGGGAAATCATTGGAAAATGAGCAAGGAAACATGTAAAGGAGAGTTAAAAATCATAATAACAAGGAAAAAAGGTTAGACTGTTGCCAATACTGAAGCATGACTCAGATAAGTTATGGGCCCACTGACCCTTGGTCTCAAACATTGTGTCCTTGGGAGAAGTGCCTTGGGGGTAAACATTTCTATGTGGCTCTTCCGGTCACAGCTGGTGAAGATCAAGTCCTTACATATGATGGGTTGGCGTTGACAATGATAAGGGAATTTTAAAAAGGTGTACATTGGTATGGCCCTACATCTCCTTACTGTATTGGAATGTTACATGGATGGTCTGATAAAGAATTCTGGATTCCCTATGATTGGTGTTTGGTTTGTAAATCAGCCTTATCCCTGTCTCAATTTATGCAATGGAAAATGTGGTTCGTGGAGGAAGCCCATGCTGCCGCTAGAGACAATCTTCGTAATCCCCAAACAGCCCATATTACATTGACTATTACATTGGGCACAAGACCATCGTCATCAGTGAAACAAGTTGCTACTGCCACTTCCTTGTCTTTAAGACAAACGCGGGATGCTGCTTTGGCCGTGTGGGCTCATATTAGTTTAAGAGCTACAACTCCTAGTTACACTAAAATATTACAGAAAAATGATGAACCGTATTCTGACTTCTTATCATGATGAGAGGATGCTATTGAAAAGCAAGTGTGAGATTCAGATATTAGAGAGAGAGTGTTAACCCAGCTGGCTTGTGATAATGCTAACAAGGACTGTCAGGACACTCTACGTCCTATAAGAGAAACTAGCAATGCTTTGGGGTACTTGCATGTCTGCCGAGAGGTGGGAAATCTAA